TTAAGACATTTTGATTTGGATTTTTGGCCCTTGGGACCGAAAACCTCCGGACTACTACAGTCTTAAAATTGTGTGTTTTCTGCTATTTCATTGCCATTTTCTTTTGTTGTAGGTTACCCTGAAGATCCAGACTCCTTAGGGGCTTTCAGGGCAGGTAAAAACTCCATCCTCATGCAAAAATGCTTCTTGGGTTTCTGGAACACTGCCAGTTTGAGGCCATCTAGGGACTTGGGGGTTGTCTCACGGAGCATCCCCTTAGCACCCCCGCAACCTCCTCCCACCATACTGATGCTGACGAGTTGAATATTGGTGTGGTCCGAGCCAAGGGGGTTGGTGGCTGTGCATGTGAAGAGGGCGTAATCCTGGGCTGCAGACACGTTGGCAATGGTCAGGAGGCTGCTGTGGATCCCACCCTGGTGGTATGTGTGCTCCATGTACCTAGAGAGGAGATGAGGCAGGGACTCATGGAGGGGAACTGTGGCTGGGTGACCAGGGTTGGGGCTGGAGTGCTGCCTGGCTAGCCTGGGCTCACCTGGGATCCTGGAGGTCCAGCGGGACCCCATTTTTGGTCCAAGTGAAGACAATATTGGGGACACCTCGGGCACGGCAGTGTAAGGTAGCAGAACTGGTGCTGTCTCCAGCTGCAGCCACCTTGCCTAGGGGAGTGGGGTGCTCCACCTGGGGGGCAACTGGGATGGGTTGGGGGGATCAAAACAAGGAATGTGGAAGGACATGAGGGCTTCAAGTTCAGTGAATGTTACCCACATCTGACAACAAGACGGACCAGCCCTCGGGCTGGAGGTGCCACCCCATTGTCCACAATGCACTGGTATGCGCCAGCTTGTTCCAGTTTGGCATGGTGGATCCTCAGACACCCTGTGGACCCCTTTGACGTTTTCTCCATGTCGTCCATGCTGTGGTCCTCTTCCTCTTCCCCCTGGAGGTCCAAGACTCAGGCGTTGGCCCCTACAGTCAGGCCCCAGCACCAGCATCCCCAGAACTGTCTAGCATGGCTCCTTCTCAGAAAAAAATTACCCAGCACAAAGCTAGTGAAGAAAAAATTCCCCCTGTCATCCACCCACGCATCCATCTATCCAACCATTCATGCATGGATCCATCCATTCATCCACCAATCCAGCCAACCACTCAACCACCAATTTATCCAACTATTCATGCTTGGAATCATCCATCCACCCTTCCATCCATTCATTCACTCATGCATTAATCCAACCATTTGCCTTCTTTCTTTCCACCCATCTATCCACCATTCCAGCTCTCCAGCTATCCACTCATCCACCCTATTCATTTATACATACACACACCCATAAGTACATGTATCTGTTCATCCATTCATTCTGCTTCCCATTTATCCATCTCTCCACTGACCTACGCACCCATCCATCCATCCACTCAATGCATCCATTCATTCATTCATCATCTTTCCACAGACATCTTTCCACTGATGGTGCATCCACCCATCCATTGATCTACCCTTTCATCTAATCTATCTATCCACTCATCTCTCTCGTACAGTCATTTAGCCACTCATCCACTCAACTAATTATCCATTCATTCACTTGTCCTTCTGTCCATTTTTCCATCCACCCACTCATTTCCCCATCCTGCAGTGAGCTCATCCACCCATCTGTCAACCCATGTATCCATCCATCCATCCATCCATTCATCCAAACTGCCACTCATCCACCCATCCATCTGCCATTGTACAAACAATTATTGTTGGAGCATGCTCCCACAGATGTGGCCCCCACTCTCAAGGAGTTCACAGTCAAGACCATGTCCCCAGTCCCCGCCTCCATTCACCAAAGGCTGGATCCTCACCAGCTTCTCCCAACTGAACATCCCTGGGAGGATGGGATTGGCGTCAACAGTGCAGACTATTTCTACTGAACCCCCGACATCCACCTCAGTGGGATCCTGAAGGGTGCGGATGATGGGAGCATCTGGGGAGAGGCAGGGGCTTGGGGAAGTCACTTGGACCCAGACAGGCTGTGGTGGGAAAGGGCCCCAGGTAGGAGAGGTGTCTTAGAGATACCCAGGGAAGTAGTGGGTGTGGACACAGTCTGCCCCTTATCAGGAGCACTTGGAGGAGGGTTCTCAGGGTTGGTGAAGCTGTCCCCAACCTCTGCCATGCCTCAGTGGTACTTAGAGTAAGTCAGAAGGACTTCCAGAATTGTGTGGTGGTGGGACTTCCCCCAGTGGGCTTGGCTTTCTAACGGGAGTAGCTCCCATGTAGGCGGACCCCCGCTAGGCGAGATTACACGTTGGGTCTCCCTAGCTAGCAGGGATTCCACAGTGGGCGTGGTTCCATCAGGGCCTGAGCTTCCAGAGTGGGAGGGGTTCCCGAGTGTAGATATCCCTGCGTGGGCTGAGCTTCCACAAGGAGAAGACTTCGCAGTGGGTAAGGTTCCCTGGGCGGGGCATGGTTTCCATGGAGGACAGGGCTCCCACAGCCCACCTGCTTGCTAGGGTGGTAGGGGGAGCTCACAGTGCACGTCCAGACGCACAAGCACCTCCGCGGTGCCCTCGGAGTTCTGGCAGTGCAGTTGATAGAGGCCGTCGTCGGCGCGGGTCACATTCCACAGCTGCAGAGCCCCGCCGGACAGGATGCGATGCCGGGGGCCGCCAGCTGGGGGAGGCCCGAGTGAGGCGCCTGCTAGGCCCTGCGTCCCTGGGCCTGCACCTGTTTCCACGCCCACTCCGCGCACCTGGGCTGAGGCGGTAGCCGCGGAAAGTCCAGTTGAAGGCCTCCGGCGCGGGATTGGCAGACAAGGTCACCGGCAGCAAAGCCTCGCGCTGCTCCTCCGCAGTCACCACGAGAACCTGCTCGCCCAGAAACTCCGGAGGGTCTACGGAGGGGGCGCCCCCGGGAGTCAAGATTGTTGTTAAGGTTAGGGTCAGGCATGGATTCGAGGTCAGGCACGGGTTCAAGGGTTAAAGTTGGGGTCACCATTAGGTTTAAGTTCAGAGCTGAGCTCAGGAGTAAAGCGGAAGATGGAGATTAAACCAAAAACCAAACCCGCTGCCGTCGAGGTGTTTCCGACCCTACAGGACAGAGTCGAACGGCCCCATAGGGTTTCCAAGGAGCGGCTGGTGGATTCAAACTGCCGAACCTCTTGGTTAGCAGCCGTAGGTCTTAACCACGGCGCCACCAGGGTTTCCAAGATAGAGATTAGGATCCATTTAAGAAAAAGTTAGGGGCCAGGGTCAGGTTTAAGGATGGAATGAGGGGTCAAGGACAGTCAGGGGTTAGGATGGGGGTCATGCTCAGGGATTAGGATAGAGGACAAAGGCAAGATATGGGGGTCAGGAGAGCAGCGGGATGGGAGTTGGTGCGGGGCCAGGAGTCAGGATGAAGCTCGGAAGAAGTTCAGGATGGGGTAAAGGACAGTATCAAAGTGAGGACATGGGTAGGATAGGGTCAGCCACGGGGCGAGGGGGCCAAGAGGGGCTCCAGGCCAGCGCACATACACAGCACGTTGAGGCGGTAGAAGGCGCTCACGGTTTCGCGGAGCTCGGCGCTGTGGGCGCGGCAAGTCACGCGGTGGCTGTGGTCGCGGGATGACACTCGCAGAACGACGGTCCTGGCCGCGGCAAAGCCTCTGTACGGGGCGCTCCGGGGCCGCGCGGCCAAGCCTTCCAGGCTGTGGACCCGGCAGTGGGTAGGATCCAGGTGGGACCAGAACCAGAAGCGGGAGGGGTACTGGGCAGCATTGCATGTGGGGCGGGGGCGGGGCCGATATGGGGAAGGGCCGCTCGCGCCCTCACCTCTCCCCCTCCTTGTCCCAAGACAGGTTGACCGCGGGATTGCTGCTGACGCTGACGCACGTCAGGTTTACCACGTCCCCGGGGCGCAGGGCCGATGTGTTGGCCAGGATCGTCACGTTAGTTGGGGGAACTTCGAGGGCCGGTCGGGGGGAGCGAGGCTCAGAGATGAAGACGAGGGCGGCCTGCTTCCGCCCCTCCCTGGCCCCTGGCCCGGCCCAGCCCGCGTCCCCTGAGGTCTGGCCCCAACCGGGGCTCCGCCGCACCCCCTGAGCCCCACCTGGTCCCCGCCAAGCCTTCCCACCGGCCCCGGCTGTACGCGCCCTTACATTGCACCAGGAGCTGCGTGGACGCGCTGAGCTGGCCCGCCTTGCACGTGAACTTGGCCTGATTGTCGGACGGACCGGTGACCAGCACCAGCTCGCGGGAGAAGGTGTTCCCCGACTTCTCCAGACTTCCCAGCTGCACCCGCCGCGGCTCCTGGGGCGGCCGCGGCTCGGTCACCGGGCGCAAGTCCTGAGGGGCCGGGACTGGCTGGAAGACGGCCCCAGACCTGCGCCTCCCCACCAGCCCTGACACGCCCCCCTTGGATTGACCACTGCCGGCCCAGGCAAGGCCTTTATGCCCGGGAGGAAAAGGCGCCCCCACGGGCGGGCACACCGCTAGGATAGAGGAGCCCACCGCCCCCTAGTCTCCCACCTACCCTGAGTTCCTGTGCTGTCTGATCCTGTCCACTGGAGGCCTGCAATTTTTGGCGCCCCCTGTGCACCCTCAGCGCCACTCATTGGTCCCTCAAATCTGTTCCTGTTACAAGCATTTACCGAACACCATGTGCCAGGAAACTCCCGGCGATTCCCAAGCTTCACCCAGAATTTCTTCATTTTTTTCCACTCTTGGTTCTGTTTCTTAGAATTCCCACTTTCCCCAAATACTTCCCTTGACCTTTCCTTTAATTCCATAGATTTCGAAATCCTTCCTCAATATTCTCTTATTATCTTAGTCTTTTACCCAAATCCAGTCCAAATTACTGGCATTTTCCCAGGATTCATCAAATTAAAATGGAATTCCATTGTTACTCCTATAATTCCTAGTCTTTCCACTAGCCCTTTAAATTCCCAGACTTTTCCCAGAATTTCATCAGAATTTTTTTTAATTTCAATGAAATTTCATTTTCTTAACCCAAATTCCAAGAATTCAATTTAATATTAATGGGTCAATGTTTTATGGAATTACTAGCCTTTCCCTTGAATTCGTAACCCTTGACCTGAGTGATTATTGTCCTTTATCTTGGAATTCTTAGTCATTCCCTAGAATTCCTGCCATTTCACCTGAATGCCAGAATTTCCTTTGATTTTAATGGAATTCATTGCCTTTTCTCTAGAACTCCCAATCTTGACCCAGAATCCCTTCTTTTTTCCTAGAATTCTAGCTATTTGCCCAGGACTCTATTTAATTCTCATGGCATCTTGTGTCTTCCAACTCCCTGCCAAACCTCAGAATTTCCAGTATTTTTCAAGAAATCCAGGCTTTCCCGAGTCTCCAAGACTCTAGAGCAGAGAAGGGGCCTCCCCCTTTTCCCACAGTACTAACCACCCCATATCCCTTGCTTGGCACCAACCTTGAACCAGGTGAGAGAGGGTTCTGGGTTGCCCCCAATGGCCAAACAAACCAGCCTCACCCGAGTCCCAGCCCGGAGCTGCTGCTTTTCTGGGGGCCCCTCAATCCACAACTTCTGAGCAGGATCTGGGGGAGAGGGCCAGGAAGGATGGTTTTTCTCTTTGGGCTGGGGCCTGGGAGAGGGGTCTCTGAGGCCTAGGAGCATCCTGGGATGGGATAGAGGCCTCACATTTCACATTCAGGGTGAGAGACTTCTTGAAGGTCTCCTTGGTGAAGGCCTCACTGAAGGCCTCACATGTGATGGTCAGGCCGTTGTCCTCTCTCCGCGCCAGAAACGTCAGGTTGGACATGGAGATGTGGCCGCCATGCAGGCCCTGTCAGGGAGCAAGCTGCAGACTTGGGGACTAGGGCACCCCCATCAATGGTACCAGAGGCTTGAGTCCACCCCACACCCCAACAGGGACACACGAGGCATCCCCACCCCCTTCTATCAGGCACAGAAGTCACCCGCAGTCCATTCTACCCCAGCACTGAGGCCTCCGGGCCTTCAGTCCTTGACTCTCAGATCTAGGAGTCATGCCTGCCGTCAGCAGCCTCCTCCCTCAGGACCCAAGAGTTCAGGTCCTCACTGGCCCCCTTCCTCAGACTCCAGACCCCGGCCCCGCCTCACATCCATGACTGTCTCCTCTGTGGGAAGCAGCTGCCTCCAGCCCAGCCACCATCTCAGCAGGACCCGTGGGCGACTGGACTTGCTGATGCAGGAGAGTGTCATGTTCTTGTTCTCAGACTGGGATACAGATCCCAGGATGGTAATGGCACTGGGGGGGACTGCAGGGACAGATGGTCAGAGGGGACACGATGGGCTGGGCTGGATTCCTCACAGATGAGCCCAGACAGACAGGGGACTGGACAGATAATGAGGGTTTGAGGGTCAGATAGGCATGATTTGGGGGCACAAACAGATAGTTCTCTGGGGCACGGACTGACAGACAGGCAGCTGGGGCCAGGACTCACAGGTGACCTGTAACGTGACCCCACGTTCCTGGGTTCCTGTGGACACACTGTTGTGGGCCTCACAGCTGAGTCGTGCTCCCTGGTCCTCCCGCCGCACGGTCATCACCAGCACGCTGCGGGCCACTGCCTGGGCATGCTCTGTGCCCCACGCTGTGGACACGGGCTGGCCATTCTGGGGACAGGGACAGTCATGGTCAGGACTAGCTCCTGACGCTTGCCCTCCCCCACCCCCACGCCTGCCTCTGCCTTCACCTTCAGCCACTGCAGTGTGGCCAGCGGATTCCCGCCTCGGGCCACGCATGGCAGTTCCAAGCTCTGCCCTGCTCGCACGTGCCCTTCTTCCAGGCCTGGCCACTCAATGACAGGGGTTCCTGGGGGGACTGAGGCGCGGCTGTCATTCAGCGGGTCCAGGGACTCCATCCAGCCTTTCTGCACCCCACACCCTGCCTCTGAACCTCCATGTCTCTCCTTTAAGTGTCTGAATTTTCCACCTTCCCTGTGCTCCCCCAGAAGCCCCAGTCCCTGCTCCCCATCCCCATGCCCACAGCTGGCTCAATTCCGCACTCACACAGAACGTTCATGGTGACTGAGACCCTGATGGGCGTGTCCAAGGCTGGGCTGGACCCCTCGCAGACCAGCAACTGCCCATTGTCCGAACTCTGGGGTGTCACCCTGGGGCGGGAAGTTGTGGTGCAGGGGTCAGAGTCATCATCTGAAATTTGGGGAGTCAGGGTGGAGAAGTGGGGATCCCAGATCCCCACACCTGGTCTAAGTCTCCATGCTGACTTTCTCTGGGATCTGACATTCCCATGGGAGAGATTTGGAGGATTGGCAATGAGAATGGGAGACCCAGGGCCCATACCTAGCCAAAATCTTTGTACTTGATAGCTTGGGAAGTGGGGTACCCATGAAGATATTCTGGAGGGTCAGGATGAAGAATTGGGTCCCAGATATCTGTATGTGACTCAAGTTTCCATGCTTGAATCCCTGGGGTATGGGGTTCTTATGGGGAAATCTGGGGATTTGGGTTGGGAGGAGGGTGCCCCAGCTGCCACACCTGGCTGTGGCCTCAGTGGTGAAGAGTTTCTCCTGGGATCCCGCATTCACGTTGGCAGAGACACTGGAAATCGTTTGTCCACCTTGGGGCAACAGGAGGGCTGAAGGGGTACTGGGTTCCCCACAAGGAAGATCCTGGGGAGCCCAATCTGAAAGCCTTTGGGGTGGACGTGATGCCTCCTGCCTGGTCTGGAGATCAAGGATCTGGTGCACCAACTCCGTTCCCTCTGCACACCCTGAATGCCGGAGTCCTCAGAGTATGTCCTGGCTGGCTCTCCCTCTCCTCACTCCCCAGTGGGTCACCTCACCACCCCCATCACCTCAGTTTCCCATTTCTGCGTTGACAATACCAATATCTCTGCCCCAGCTTGGTCTCTCCCTTGAGTCCCAGGCTAGGGGGTCCTGTGATCCCCTGGATACCTCCCCCTGAATATCCCCCAGGCGCCCCCCCACCCATCAGGTCCCACACTAGCCTCAGTGTACCCTGAAGCCTGCCTCTCCTCCTGGTCCCCGTCTCAAGGATGGTATATTTTCCGGGGCCCCTAGGAAGGCAGTGGGCAGGAACACATCCTCTTCCCACTTGGGGGCTTCATACTGCTCCCCCCCAGTTTACCCACACTCACTCTGGAGGAAGGTGATGTCAGGTGCTGGCTTTGCATCCCCAGTCACACAGCTAACAGTGTACTCCTGCCCAGCTACCCAGGTAACCGAGCTCCCTGCCTCGGGGGTCATCCGAAGCACCTTGGGGGGCACTGTGAGAAAGGGCCAGTTGTCACTGAGGAGGAAGTGATGATTTGGGCTTTGAGGCCCCTTGCTCGTGAAATGAGTCTTGTACCCAGGGTGCTGGGTGGGAAGAGGGCTTGGACTCCGGGGTCCTGGGGATCTCTCACTCATACCCAAGACAGAGAGGATCACTCTGGGAGACACAAGTGCGGGGCCCGTCTCCGAGCGGCTGACCTGGCACTCATACTCGGCGTCATCACTGAGGTCACAGGCTGTGATGTGCAGGTAGAATTCACCTGCGGGTGGGGCCGAAGGTCAGGGTCACAGCCTCCGTGGGCGGCTCGGGGGCTCAGGCTCTGCTTTCTTACCTCGAGCAGGGTCCCCCTGCAGGTGGTACCGTGGGAAGCTGGGGATCCTGGGGTCAGGGCCTAGAAGAAGTCCATCTTTGGCCCACTGCACTGTGCTGCCAGGGGCAGTGACCCCGCACCGCAGCTCAGCTGTGGCCCCCTCCAAGACCGTCACGTTTTCAGGCAGGGCCCAGAAGTCTCGGGGGACCGAAGCAGGAATCCGCAACTGAGCCAGGCCTGGGGATACAGGGCGGTCAGTAGAAGAGGGCAGGGGGCCTGGCCGGGGAACCGGGTGGGAAATGAGGGTCGCACTCACCTGTGGCCAGCAGCCCCGTGAGCAGCAGGGCAGTGCAGAGAAGAGTTCTCAGGGCACGGGGTGCCGGCCCAGGCTCTCTGCCGGGGGCTCCCATGGCGCTCATTGCCCGCCTCCTGTGTCCGCCTCTGTCTTTCTCTGGGCTGTCTCTCCGCGTCTCTTTCTTCTTTCTTTTTGTCTCTCTCTCTCTCTCTTTCTGTTTTCTTTCCTTCCTGTGTCTCTTTGTCTCTGTCTCTCTCCCCCCTCTCTCTTTCCCTCTCCCCCCCCCGTCTCTCTCTCTCTCTCTCTCCCCCGCTTTCTTCTCTCCTACCACCCCCCCACCCCTCCTCTCCTTCTCTCGCTGCTCACAGCCTCTCAAGGAGGATGCGCTGCTCAGGGTCCTGCAGGCCCCATGAGCCCCGGAGACAACGAGGCCGGTGTGAGCAGTGGCAGAGGTGGGCCCTGTTCTCCGACCGAGCCTGAGCGTGTCTGCATCCTGCCACCTCCCCCAGGTGCCCTCACGGGTCTCCAGCTGTGGTCCTCTGCCCAGCAGGCTCCTCCCAGCCCAGCTGGAGCACGAAATCCCCCGTCAGCACATGCCAGCCACATTCCTCGGTGCCTCCCCAGCCCCTGTGAACCCAGGGGCCCGGCTTGTGCTTGATACGGAGTGGGGGTGAGGAGATTGGCAGGTCAGACCAGGGCAGCCCCAGCCCACCATGGGGAGCAGAGAGCTGGGTCCAGCGTGGGAGGTCAGACCCCCCAGCTCTTCCCTGCCCTGGCAGGTGACCTGGGTAAGCCCCTTGCCTCCCTGAGTAGACGTCACCCCCTCCTTCAGTGACGTCAGGGATCTCTGCCGGGGAGTGTGCAAGACAGTGCGTGAGAGTCTGGAGTGTGTGTGCCTGTGTGCGAGGGTGTGCAAGCAAGTGTGGGCACGTGTGTGAGGGCCGGGCGGGTGACCATGAATGTGGTTCGTGAAAGCGTGTGGCAAGCACGTGGGGGTGAGTGTCTAAGTGTGCAGGTGGGCGTGGGGCCGCCAGCGTGGTGGGGAGTGAAAGGCAGGGCCCTAGACCACCAGCTCCAAGTGTGGCTGCTGTGTGGCAAGGGTCGCACAAGCCCTCGTTCATGTGGCTTCCCTGCGCCTGTGTGAATTTCCCACTGTCTCTGCGTCGGTCTCGCTCCCTCTCTCCTCTGCTCCGTCTTTCTCTCTGGCCATCCGCGTCTCAGCGTCTTTGTTTCTGTCCCCTCTTATCAGGAGCTCAACACTTCTTCAGCCTTTAATTCTTTCACTGTTTCTTTGTACGTTTCTCTCTATCTGCCTCTCCGTGTCTCTGTTTTTCTGTCTTTCTGTCTTTCTGTCTCTGTCCTCATCTCTATCCGCCCCCCCACCCCCCGTGTCTCTCAGCCCCCAGGAGCTCAATAAATATTTATTCTCAGTCAACCTTTCTTCTCTTCCTCTCTCTGTCTCTGAGTCATCCTGAGCGTCACATCCTCAGATTTTAGAACCATATGCTGGTTGGCCTGCCCGCTCCACTCCAGCATGAAATACACACTCTCATGGGATAACCTTCTCCTGCCTGCTGATCTCCTGTGGGAATTGAAAGGCTCGTTCCCCACCCCTTCATGGTCCCCTGCTCCCCAGTCTGGTCCTCCTCCAGGAATAGGATGAGGCATCTGGCCTGAGCCCATGGCCCCATATACACGGTGTTCCCTTTAATCTTTCTTCTCCCCTTCCCTGTTCTCTCTCCCAGCCGCCTCCCATGCCCCCTGGGGACCGGGCTGAATGCAGAGCTGGGGGGGTGGTCTGTCATAGTGGTCCTCACCAGATGGTGTCCCTGGGGGCCGGGCCATAAGGCTGTTAGATGCAGCGACCTTTAATTAGCACATACCTTCTACCCTCCACTAGGCTGTTTTCCTTCCCTGGGTGCTCCTGGGATCTCAGGCTCTCTCTCTTTCCATGCTTGTGGCCCCAGGGAGCCAGGAAGGGGAACCAATATCGGGTGTCTGGAAAAACAGCCTTACCACCTGACTTCCTTCCCAGGACTCAGGAGTCTCTGCCCCAAGCCCAGCCTATTTCAAAATCCAGCTGCTGAATCCCCAACACAGAAGCCAGGAATTGAGGCCACCAGACCTGGGAGTCTGAGCCCCCAGGACACTTTCGCCTCAGACTCAGGCGTCCAGGCCCCCAGCCCCTTCTCGCCCAGGACCCAGGAGGTCAGGCCTCCAGCCCCCTGCCCCCCAGGATTTAGGACAGATGTTCACTGTCTGCTGATTTTCAAATCCTCCTGGGCCTGTGTGGGGGTGGGAGACAGATTGGTGGTTAAATCCACCGACTCTAAGACTTCAGACCAGATTTTCTGACCCTGTCATCCTCTCCCGGAGCCCTGATGGGACGGTGGTTAACAACGTGGCTGCTAACCACAAGGTCGGCAGTTCGTATCCACCAGCTGCTCCTTGGAAACCCCGTGGAGGCAGTTTCTACTCTGTCCTGTAGGGTCCCTATGAGTCGGAATCGACTGATGGCAATGGGTTTGTTAGTTTTTTTTTTTTTTTTTTGGTCATCCTCCCCCAACCACACCATGCTGCAGGCAGGGGCCCTAGGAGTCTAGTTCCCACCCCCTCAGAAACCCAGAGTTCAGGCCACAGAGTCTTGCCGGCAGAAGTCTTAGAATCCCAGAGCTTAGACTCCTGGGCGGACAATCTCTAGTCATTCAGGGACGCAAGAATCTGAGCCCAGGAGCAACCAGGAACCTGAATGTGGACCCCTAGTCCCTACAGGCCCGGGACCGTCAGACCCGGGACCCCAGACCCCCAGCACTCCCCTCTGTCTGCTGCGGGCATCCACCTGTCCGGCCAGCTGCGCAGCGCACAGGCGGCTCGCAGCGTGGGAACGCCCCAGCTGGGCTGCAGGAGCTGTCAGGACAAGCTGCGCGGTTCCCAGCCTCTCTGCCCGCCACAGCCCAGGCACCGCCACCTCCCAGCCGTCGCCCGGCAACCCGCAACCGCGGCCGAGGGGCCCGGCAGAGTGAGGAGAGGGGCAGGGCCCAGACTGAGGGGTCCTGGGAAAGGATGGGCCGGGAGCCTGGATTCCTGGGTCTTGGTGCGTGATGTAGTTGGCAGAGGGAACAAGGCGGGCAGAGGAATACTTTGGGGAGGGATTTTGAAGCAAGAGAAGCTGAGTCCCCCCTTCTCCGAGGTCTCAGTTGCCCCCCAAGATCCCCAGTGTCCTCTTCCTGACCCGCCGGCCCAGGGGAGTCCCGGCCCCGCCTCCCCAGGGCTCGGAAACTGGCGAGGCGCTGGGGACTCCATTTATAGCTGCGTTTCCACTCAGCGCAGTCCCTCCGGGAGCTGGGCTGAGCAAGTTTCTTCCACTCTCTGCTGTCTCTCCTCCTCACCGCGTCCCCCGCAGGGCGCAGGTGTTCAGTCTCAGCAGGGTCCGCTTCCTTCCACCCAGGTGTTCCTGCTCCCAGACTCCAATTGGGCTGGGGTACCGCCCGCCCCGGGAGCCGGGGCCAGCGTGCCCCCATTCATCCGCGCCTTGGCTGAGGGGTTCCTCAAAGGGAAAGGTCGGGTCTCCGAGGGGGCGGGCCGGGGTTGGCCGGGGCGGGGCGAGCGGCGGCGGGCCCTCCCCGGGTAGCACCCAGGCTGAGCGCGCGGAACTCGCCGGCGATTCAGCTTCGGAGGCTGCGGATGAGCAGACTTGGAGGAAGTCCAGGCCGGGACTGGGGGTTCCTAGCTTGAGGCGAAGGGTCAGGCGGGAAGGGGCCCCGGGCTAGGGAGGTGAGAGGTGAACTCCCGAAGAAGGAGTTGGCAGGGAAGCCAGCGCAACAGCACGTCTCCTGAATCTTGGGGGATACACACTCAGGATGCTGGCCTCCGCCCTCCTTGTCCTCCTCCTCTGCTTCAGGGGGCGCGCAGGTACCGCTGCGGGGAGCCGATGAAAAGGGGGAGGATCGTGCACTGGCTGTGGCTTTACTAAGGAGGAGCGGGTTGGGGGCCCGGACTCCTGGGTCTGCGGAAGGAGAATTCGGGGGCCCGGGCTTCTAGGTCTGAGGAAAGAGGGACTTGGGGTTGAACTCCCGGGTCCTGGAGGAAGAAGATCTGGTACCGGACTCCTGGGCCTTGAAGGAGAGAGCCCTTGAATGCGCTGAGCTAGGCTCTGCTGTCTTGCACCCTCCTAGACCCGTTGCCCCATTTCCTGCAACAGCCCGAGGACCTGGTGGTGCTGCTGGGGGACGAGGCCCGACTGCCCTGCGCCCTGGGCGCATACAAGGGGCTGGTTCAGTGGACCAAGGATGGACTGGCTCTAGGGGGTGAGAGGGACCTGCCAGGTGAGGCTGTTGGCTCTACCCAGGGAGATGCTCCAGGGCGGGAGTGCTGGGCTTGGATTGCACCTGAATATTTGGACTTGTTCAAACTTGTTCAAGTTTGGGGGGTTGATGGGCTCAGGTAAACAAATTTGGAGGTCCTGGTTTTTTAAGCTTCTTCTTTGGGGGTGGACCAGAGGGTTGGGGTTTTTTAATTTTTATTGTAAAGTATTACATGCATGCAGAAAAGTGCATAAAACATCAGTGCACGATTTGCCAAGTAATCATAAAGTGGACACCCATTTAACCAATACCCAGGTCCACTGCCAGCTCCCCAGAGGCCTTATTCCCTTCCCTGTCATAACCCTCTCCCTCCTCCTCCCCTTGGAGGTAACATCTAACCTGACTTTTGCGGTAATCATTTTTTTCTTGCTTTCCTGCCTGGCTTACCACCCCCGAGTTTTCCGTAACTGGATTGGGAAGGGGTTAGAGTCTCTGGGCCTATCACGCACTTTAGTGGTGCGTTACTGTGGGATGGCTGGTCAGTTTTCTGGTGTGGGGTACGTGGGCATGGAGGCTCGGGGTCAGGAGCCCAGAACCATGGCGTGACTGCCTCTTTCCTGACTCCAGGGTGGTCCCGGTACTGGATCTCGGGGAACACAGCCCGCGGCCAGCACGACCTGCACATTAGGCCCGTGGAGCCGGAGGATGAGGCCCTGTACGAGTGTCAGGCCACACAGGCAGGCCTGCGCTCTCGCCCGGCCCAGCTGCACATCCTGGGTGAGGACCCATCCCGCTTGTCCTCAGGGAACTCCGGCTGGCTGGGAGTTTCAGAGTCCAGGGAACCCAAGGGGGGTGGTCGGTTAGAAATGGGAAGGTCAGGGTCTCTGGGCCCAGGATCAGTTCTGATCCCCCATCTACCCTGCAGTGCCCCCAGAAGCTCCCCAGGTGCTGGGCGGCCCTGCTGTGTCTCTGGTTGCTGGGGTTCCTGCGAATCTGACCTGTCGGAGCCGTGGGGATGCCCGCCCCACCCCCGAGCTGCTATGGTTCCGAGATGGGGTCCAGCTGGATGGGGCCACCTTCCGTCAGGTCAGGTTCAAGTCCTTGGGCTAACCTTTGCTTAATCAGAGAATCTTGGGGTCCACTCTGACCTCAGGCTCAGTCAGAGGAGAAAAGGGTATGGGAAGGCAGGATTCAAAGCTTAGGACCCTTGGTATGTGGTTAAAGGTAAAGACTCTAGGACTAGACTGCCTGGGTTCAAACCCTGGTTCAGTCAATCACCCGTTGATTGATTTTGAGTAAGTTACTTAACCTCTCTGTGCCTCGGTTTCCTTATCTGTAAAATGGAGATAATAGCAGTATGCACCTTATAGGGTAATTGTGAGGATTAAACAAAGTAATACTTACAACAAGAGCCCTGGTGGTGCAGTGGTTAAAGCACTCGGCGGCTAGCCAAAAGTTCAGCAGTTGGAACCCACCAGCCACTCCGTGGGAGAAAGATGTGGCAGTCTGCTCCAAAGAGATTTACAGCCTTGGGAAGCCTACGGGGTTGCTCTGCGTCGGGATCGACTTGACTGCAGTGGATATATAAGGGGTAGGTGAAGTTGTTATTATCCTTTACCTCCAGACTCTGCTGAAGGAAGGGACCACTGGGCCAGTGGAGAGCACTTTATCCCTGACCCCTTCCAGCCACGATGATGGAGCCATCTTGGTCTGCAGGGCCCGGAGTCAGGCTCTGCCCACAGGGAGAGACACAGCTATCACGCTGAGCCTACAGTGTGAGTGCAGTTGGGTGCTGAGCCCTAAGCCTGAGGTCCCTGGGGAAAGAGGGGACTGTGGACCTGGGGTCCCTAGGGGAAGATGAAGCTGGGGCCTGGACTTCTAGGTCTGAGAGGGCAGGTGGTGACTGAGGGTCTGCACGCCGGAGTCCCTGGGGGAATAGCAACTGAAGGCCCAGACTCCTGCAGTGTCTGAAACAGGAGGGGCTTGAGACTGGACTGCTCCTCCCTCAATGGAGGTGTTCCAGGTCCTCGCCCACGCTGACCATTGTCTCACACACCACAGACCCCCCAGTGGTGACTCTGTCCGCAGCACCCCAGACTGTACAGGAAGGAGAAAAGGTCACGTTCCTGTGCCAGGCCATGGCCCAGCCTCCCGTCACTGGCTACAGGTGAGGATCACCTCTGCCCAGCCCAGAGCACAGACTTGGGTAGGCCTGGGACAGGGGCCTAGGGAGGGCTGGCGCGGGGGAGCGGGGACAACACTCACAGCCCCAGCACCTCCGCAGGTGGGCAAAGGGGGGCTCCCCGGTGCTTGGGGCCCGCGGGCCAAGACTGGAGGTCGTGGCAGACGCCTCATTCCTGACTGAGCCGGTGTCCTGCGAGGTCAGCAACGCAGTGGGCAGCGCCAACCGCAGCACCGCGCTGGATGTGCTATGTGAGCGGGGAGCGAGGTCGTGGGTGTGACCAACGTAGGGGGGCGGGCCCAAATGGGCTGGGGGCTAGAGCGGGCGTGGCTGCAAGCGGCTGTGCAGAGAAAGGCTAGAAGGTGAGGCTGGAACTAGGATGCGGGTCACGGCCGTAGTGGGGCAGGGGCGGGGCAAGGGTGGGGCAGGGCGTGGACAATTAATGCGCGGAGTATAGGAACCCTGGTGGCGCAGTGGTTAAGAGCTTGGCTGCTAACCAAAAGGTCGGCATTTCGAATCCCCCAGCCGCTCCTGGGAAACCCTATGGGGCAGTCCTACTCTGTCCTAATAGGGTCGCTATCAGTCGGAATCCACTCGACGGCAACGAGTTTATTGTGGACCTGGGGCCTATACTTGGGCCCTCGCGGGTGTAGTGTTTCTGAGGGGCTGGGGTGGCATCCTTCCCGGGCCATGACTCCACCTCTCCCTCCTCCAGTCGGGCCGATTCTACAGGCAAAGCCGAAACCCACGTGGGTGGACGTCGGGGAAGACGCCTCCTTCAGCTGTGGCTGGCGTGGGAACCCGCCCCCACGGGTGACCTGGACCCGCCGCGGGGGGGCGCAGGTGAGGCGCCATCTGGGCCTGGTGCCCGGGGCTTCTTTCCAAGGCCCCGCCCCTGACTCCTCCTCCCCGCGCCAGGTGCTGGGCTCCGGGCCCACGCTGCGCCTTCGGTCCGTGGGGTCGGAGGATGCAGGCGACTACGTGTGCAGGGCTGAGCCGGCGACTTCGGGCTTGGGGGGCGGTGCCGCGGAAGCGAGGCTGACGGTGAACGGTGAGAAAATTGGGCTTCCTAGAGGAGGAGGCCTCCAGGGGAAGGGGTCCGCTGAGGAGGGGAGCCTACTGGATGGGCGTGGCCTTGAGCGGAGCTGACAGACGGCGGGGCCTGGGGGTGGGGGCCCCACCTAGGGCAGGCTAGCCTTTGAGGGGATCCGAGTTTGTTGGGGGTAGTGGCCTGGCTGGGTGTGGTTAGTGGAGAGGTTGGCCCGGCCTTATCGGGAACAAGGTTTGGGGAGGGCAGGACCTCTGCTCTGATTGGTCCACAATCTTCCCGCAGCTCCCCCAGTAGTAACCGCTCTGCGCCCTCCGCCCGCTTTCCTGAGGGGCCCTGCCCGCCTCCAGTGTCTGGTGTTCGCCTCCCCTTCCCCAGAAGCCGTGGTAAGCAACTGTTCCCATCTACCACGACCCACCCAGCTGCGATCCCAGACCTCCCACCCGGACCCCCAAAAGTGCTGTGACCATGTCCGATTTTGCCGACACCCCTCTTCCCTCTTCCCCCGACTCCTCTGTCTCCTCGGCGACCTCCCTCGTTTGTGCCCCCAGGTCTGGTCTTGGGATGAGGGCATTCTGGCGGCCGGGTCGCGGGGCCGGTTCCTGGTGGAGACGTTCCCAGCCCCGGAGGGCCTCGGGGGACAGGGCCCGGGCCTGATCTCCGTGCTCCACATTGCGGGGACCCAGGAGTCCGATTTTAGCCGGAGTTTCAACTGCAGTGCCCGGAACCGGCTGGGTGAGGGAGGCACCCAGGTCAGCCTGGGCCGGAGAGGTGAGAGACCCCAGATCTGGCGAGGATTTCCAAACCGAGGACTGTCCAGCCTCAAGTATAGAGACCCCATACCTCGGGAGCCTCAAAACTATCGGTCTCTTGATCCGGAGAGCCCAAAACGATGAATTCCCTCAAACACGGGATCCCAAACTGAGAGATCTCTCACACCTAGAGGCCTCAGAAAAGGGAACCTCCAAATATGGAGAATTGCGAAGTAAAAGCCCCTCAAACTAAGACTTTGTAAAGCCAGTCTAAACTCAGGGGTACTCTGAAACTCTGGAAACCGAAATTCATGAGCCGTTAAACCCAGGGGCCAAAAGCTACGGGAGTGCAAACCTTGGGAATCTTCCAGGTTGGAGACCTTCTGAATCCCAGGGAGCCTAAACCCAAGCTCTGAGCCCCTACTCCCCTGTTCCTCCTGAGTCCCCTGCGCCGTCCCCTCAGGACGCCCCCTCTTCTCCCTGCAGTCCTGCTGCCCACCGTGCGGATCATTGCGGGGGTTGCCGCGGCGGCCACGACTCTCCTCATGGTCATCACTGGGGTGGCCCTCTGCTGCTGGCGCCATGGCAAGGGTCAGTGTCCAAGCCCCGCCCCACGCCCTGCCCGCTGGGTCGGCCGCGCCTCGGGACTTGGCCCCAGTCCCGCCTCTCTCGCCCCGCCCAGCTCTGGTTCCTCCCTCAAGGCCTACCGCCGTCCTCCCGGGGTCACACGCCTCGCCCTCCCGGGCCAGGATTCCCATTGGTTCCCAGACTCCCGGCTTGGCCCGCCCCAGTCCTCTCTCTTCCCTCTCACTGGTCCCGCCCTATGGCTGACCTCCGCGCTTCGCTGTCCCCGGCCGCAGCTTCCCTCTCCAAGCAAGGGAACCTGGTGGGAATCCCAGGCAGCAGCGACGGCGCCAGTTCTCGGGGCCCAGAGGAAGAGATGGCCAGCGGCGAGGACCGGGTAGGATGCCGGGCAGACGCAACCATGCTTCCGGACCTAGTAATGACTCAGTCCTAACAGTTCGCCCAGTCCCAACCAGGCCCCGATCTCAGATAGGGTTCCAGTCCAACAGTGACCCCAGACCCAATGTCCCCCAAGTCTGTATATGCCCCTGACCCAGTTATTTCCCAGATCTAATATGCCCACCAGGACTCCCTTGTCCCGACCTCAGACTCCGGCTCCTAGATGCACTTAGGCTCTCTGGCCTGGCCTCCACCCACTGGCTGAGAGCCTGTGGGGTCTGGCACTGGGGCAGGGTAATCCTCTGACTACTCCCTCTTACTAACCACCCAACCCCAGGGCCCCATGGTGCACACGGACCACAGTGACCCGGGTCTGGATGAGGAGGGGGCTCTGGAGACCAAGGTGAGTGTTGAGAGGGGAGGGGCTCCCTTCATTGTGTCTAACTCTCTCCCTGCTTCCGTCCCCTCCTCTTCTGTTCTGTCGCTGCCTCTCCCCCCTCCTCCTGCCTCCTGAGCCTTTTCCCCCACCTCCACAGCCTCAGTTTGTATATCTGACTATGTCCACATATCTGTCCCGCCTCTGGCCTCTCTCTTGAGCCCTAGACCAGGGGTCAGTCCGCCTGTGTTTGTACATCCGACTATGTTTCACAGTCAGGCCTCAAGCCTCCTGGTTGTCCTCCCTCCCTCCCCCTCCCCCTGGCATCAACACTGGTCTTACACGCATTGGATCCCATACTGGCCTGATTATCCCGAAAGCTGCCCCTCATCTGGGGGCCATGTCAGGGCAGCCCCACCAACCCCATTCCCCAGTCCGGAGTCCTCGTTCTCCTATGCACCTAAAACCAAAAAAAAAAAATAAAAGAAGAAGAAGAAGAAAAGAAAAAACCAAACCTGTTGCCGTTGAGCCTATTCCAACTCATAGTGACCCTCTAGGACAGAGGAGAACTGCTCCATAGCGTTTCCAAGGAGTGGCTGGTGGATTCGAACTGCCAGCCTTTTGGTTAGCAGCCCTATCTCTTAACCACTGTGCCTCCAGGGCTCCCCTATGCACCTAAAAGCCAAAAAACCAAATCCATTGCCATCAAGTCAATTTCAACTCATAGTGACCCTGTAGGATAGAGAAGAACTGCCCCATCGGGTTTCCAAGGAGCAGCTGCTGGGTTCAAACTGCCAACCTTTTGGTTAGCAGCCATATCTCTTAACCACTGTGCCACCAGGGCTCCCCTATGCACCCAGCACATGCTGTTCTCTTGACCTGAAACACTCCCACTTTCCCAAAGCTACTTGATTCCTCCCTCATTCCTTTGGTCTCAGCTGAGACACTTCTTGTCCTAGGAAGCCCATGCTTTCCCCATCCCAGCCCTGGTCATCCTGCCTGTTTGCCCCTCACAGCCATGGCCACGCTGTCCTCAGTTTCCCCATCCATTCCCAGTCACCGCACCTGAGCTCTGCCCATCACAGTGTGATCACTCTGTGTTGCTCCCGTCACTGTCACGATCAGTGCTGAAGGGTCCTCCACAACAGCTACGGCTACTCTGCTTTTGATTTCCCCATCGTAGCCCTGACCCCTCTGGGCTCTGTCTGCTCATTTGTCATTTCCGCTTTGGCCATGGGATCTCCATGGGGATGGAGCCCAAGTCTATCCTAGTGACAGATGTCTCCAGCAGGACCATAAGGCGTAACAGTCAAAGCTTAGGGGCTGTTAACCAGCAAACCAGTTGTCTTCAGGTTGCCTCTGACTCATGACGCCCCTGTGTGTGTCAGAGTAGAACCGTGTGTGCTCCGTAGGGTTCCTGATGGCTGACATTTTCAGAAGTAGATTGCCAGGCCTTTTTTTCGAAGTGCCTCTGGGTGGACAGAGCCCTGGTGGCACGGTGGTTAAGAGCTACAGCTGCTAACCAGAAGGTCAGCAGTTTGAACCCACCAACCGCTCCTTGGAAACCCTATGGGGTAGTTCTCTGCTCTGTCCTATAGGGTCGCTGTGAGTCAGAATCGACTCGATGGCAATGGGTTCTGGGTGGACTTGAACCTCCAACCTTTTGGTTAGCAACTGAGCATGTTAATCACCCAGGGACTCCCGAGGGGCTATTAGGCAGATGAATGAATGAGGCCTCTGTCTCAGTCTTTCTCTTATTCTCTCTGCATCTCCTTGCATACGGTCACCCCTCAGCGAGCCTGTATCCCCGTGTCTGTCTGGTTCTGTTTCCGTCTCTGCCTGTCTCCTGTCACTGTTTTTCTGTCTCACTTTGTCTCTCTGCCAGTCTGTGTGTCTGTCTCTGTCTCTGGGCCTCTGCCTCTCCTGTTTCTGTCCTTTTATCTCTCTCTAGGTTGGGCTCTATCTCAGTGTTTCTCCCCATCAGTGACCCTCACCCTTCTGTACCCACACATTTCTTACCAAGTCCCATCTGTCCCCACAGGACCCAACCAACGGTTACTACAAGGTCCGAGGGGTCAGCGTAAGCCTGAGCCTTGGTGAAGCCCCTGGAGGAGGTCTCTTTCTGCCACCCACCTCTCCCCTTGGACCCCCCACAACCCCCACCTTCTATGACTTCAGCCCACACCTGGGCGTGGTTCCTCCCTGTAGACTGTACAGAGCCCGGGCGGGCTATCTCACCACACCCCATCCTCGAGCTTTCACCAGCTATGTAAAACCCACATCCTTTGGACCCCCAGACCTTGCCCCTGGGACTCCGCCCTTCCCATATGCTGCCTTCCCCACACGCAGCCACCCCCGCCTCCAGACTCATGTGTGACATCTCTCTGACTGAAGTGTCCTGGGATCCTCAACTTGCCATAATGGATTATCCCGACTTCTGAGGAACTGGGACAAGCTGGCAACCTTATGCCTCCAAACTGAACATTGTGGGGAGGGACAGATCATTACAGTTGTGTAGGTCACTAGTATAGAATCAGCTCAGCCAAAGAGGATGCCCCAAGTGGAAATAAGATGACCACTCTGCCCACCTCTTCCCCATGTGTAAAAGAGATTCAGGATGGCAGATGGTCCCTTTGCAGAGGGATGGGGACAGAGGGTGATGGGAGTTAGGGGCTGGGATGGAGGTTGTCCCTGACCACTGGAAAAAAAAAAGATATTTCAAGATGACCATCTATACCGAGAACAAATGTAACAGTGGGGAGATGAAAGTGGGGGATAAGACAGGCCGCCCCCGTCCTCGCTCTCCTTGTGGCCTGCTTGGCCAACAGAAGTGCAGCCAAGGGGGTTGTTCGTTCACTCCCTGAAACTCCAGATGGTCGCCATCTTGATTCCTCTACCTTCCTTAAAGGCCCAGCAAGACGCGGACCTAAAGAGTGGGGATAGGGTGAGAACTGTCCTGCGGGGGATAGGGGGGTGGTTAAGGTGATGAAGGGGAATCTGGGGATGAGAATATTTATGTTTAATAAAAAAAGTCCAAGGAATTAATGTGTCTTGAGGAGTCTCCCAGTATTATTCCCCTCCATCAAGGAAGTGGTCCATCAAACCTGCCCCAAGGCCTTTCCTTTACCCCAACCTATGAAGGTGCTGTGGCGTCCCGGTGGTGCCGTGGTTAATAGCTATGGCTGCTAACCAAAAGGTTAGCAGTTTGAGTCCACCAGCTGCTCCTTGGAAACCCTATGGGGCAGTTCTACTCCACACGATGGCGACAGGTTTGATTTTGGTTTCTTTATGAGGATGCTGGAGGAGCAAAGCAGTACCTTGCTACCTGTTTGGCACACTAGGCTCTCAACACACATCTACAAACACACATACATACACACAAACACACGTGTGGGCATGACTCCGCAGCCAGAAACAGATGCAGACACATAGCAGGGCTGTCCCAGTTGGCCTGGGGAAGACGGAATTCCACACTCTCATCGGAGGAGACAAAGCAGTGAGCCCTAAGAGGGGGAGGGATGCTAAGAGGGGCTGGAAAATTGATACGCCTCGTCCTTAGAACAAAGCAGGGCGTGGGGTGAGGGTGGGGGGGCAGGGAGGGCTTGCCCTGAGGTACTGGCTCCTTGATGGGTAAAATGTTGGGGGCCTGGACTTAAATGGCCTGGGGGCTTTTGTCCCTGGGTCTTTGAGCTAGGAGGAACTTAAAGGTCCAGAGACCTGGCACCCTTGGGAAGCAGGACAGGAGGCCTGGACACCTGAGTCTGAGGGAGAAGGGACTGGAGATTCAGTCGCTGGTTCTGAGGGAGAAACGGCCTAGGGCCCATACTCCTGGATCTGAAGGAGGAGGTGGCCCTCTCAAATGTTGTGTTCTTGATTGGGGAAATTTTGGAGGCCTGCATTCCTGGAACCTCAAGAGAGGAATTGGGGAGGGTCCCCATTGCTGGCATCCTTGGAGGGGGACGAAGCAGACAGTGGAGTCCGTGTCTGGGTCTCAGGGAGGAGAGAGCTGGGGGTGAGGAATCCTAGGTCCTGAGGGAGGACTCAAAATCCCCAACTGCGGAGCCCACGACCCAGACTCCCGCCTGGCTGGCCCTTGCATGGGGCGGGGGCCTGGCGCAGGCTCCCACCCGGGGTTTGCGCGCCGCTCCACGCAGCGCACAGGCGACCCGCTATTGTCCTGGCCAGGAAGGCGGGGCCGGCGCGGGGCGGGGCTAGCGGCGCCGGCGCAGCCTGGAGGCGGCGGGAGGAGGAGGAGGCGGCGGTGGCGCTGGGAGCTCCTGTCACCGCTGGGGCCGGGCCGGGCGGGAGCGCAGGGGACGTGAGGGCGCCAGGGCCGGGACATGGGGCCTGCCAGCCCCGCCGCTCGCGGTCTGGGCCGCCGCTGGAGCCAGCCGCCGCCGCTGTTGCTGCCCCTATTGCTGCTGCTTCTGCGCGCGCAGCTCGCCGCCGGGAGCCTGGCTGGTGGGAGCCCCGGCGCGGCCGAGGTGAGGCCGGGCCAGGTCCTGGGGGGAGGGGGAGGCGCGGGACCGGGCTTCTGGACCCCGACACGGGCATGTCCTGGGCAGAAAGTGCAGCTTTTCCAGCCAGGTTGGCGGCCCCCAGGCAGCCCCCGGCAACACTAGGCATTCATGAACCATGGGCCCAAGGGTTCAGGCCCCAGCTCCCCATTCATCTGACGTCCCAGCCCCCGCCCCTAGACATAACAAATGGCTTTTCCAGAGTCCCTGGACCCAGAAGTACAGACCCCTCCAGACCTCTTCCCCCTAGGAGACTCGGCCCAAGCCCCCTCACACCTGAACATAGGACCCGCCGTGTAGAAAGGCACCTGGATCCAAGAATCCAGGCCCCTCACATCCTCCGGGCCCTCATATGAGGCCCCGCAACCCCCCAGGACCCAAGACAGGACCCAGGATGTAGCTCCCCATCCCTCAAGGACTTGGTGTCCAGGCCTGCAAGGCCCTGAAGCCAAGCCTTTTCGTCTTTGCACCCGGAAATGGGAACGTGAGCCTGGGATGGAGGGAAGAGGGTCCAGGACGCCTGGGTTCTGGCCTCCTCCCCCGCGATCCTGGTTTAACCCCTTCGGACTCCAGCGAGGCTCTGTGGGATGGGGGCAGAGCCTGTCTCCTCGGCAACAAGGCTGCTAGAATCCCGGGGGACCCGGTCGCCATAGCAACGGGAGAGCTGGAGGGTCCCCCGCCCTGCAGGACCTGTTTCCCGGGGAACGGGGCCTCCACGGAGGCGGACGCACGGTGTTTGGGGGAGGGAGCTGCTGCTGGGGGTCTCAGTGTCTGGGTGCCGGGGAGCGAAGGGCCGGGAGACCCCATGTCAACAGCCCCCGGACCCTCGCTGACCCCCTCCGCTCCCACCCCCAGGCCGCAGGGTCAGCCCAGGTGGCTGGACTATGCGGACGCCCAGCGCTTCACCGGGACCTGCGCACCGGCCGCTGGGAGCCAGACCCACAACGCTCGCGACGCTGTCTCCGCGACCCGCAGCGCGTGCTGGAGTACTGCAGACAGGTGGGCGGGACCTGCGGGGAGGGGCGTAGTCAGCGGGGTCGCCCACAGGAAGCTAGACGTGCGAAAGGTGAGCTCAGAGCTCGGAGGGATCTAAGCCGCCAGGGCAGGTAGGGGGCGTGGCCAACGAAGAGACGAAGCTAGGGTAGGGCGAGACCTGTTTTGAGAAACGAGGTTAGGAAAGCGGGAGACCCGTGCAGCCTGTTGGGGGCTGTGTAAAGAATAAGGTCTCAGCTCTTAGGAAACTTGAGCGTGGCCAGAGGAGAGGCCGGGCTAAGACGAAAAGAGACGTTGTGGGCCGGCAGGATGGGAAAAGGGTGGATCCCAATGAGAGAGTGGGTAGCTAGGAGGCGTGGCTATGGGAAAACCGTCCTAATACAAAACGAAGAGACACAGAGAGGCCAGACGAAGAAAGGGGCTTAGAGAAGGGTGGGACCTCTGGGGAGACAGACCAGATAAGGGCGTAGCCAGAAGAGAGGTGAGGCTCAGAGCGATTGAATTCATGGGAGTGGGTTGAGAAGAGCGTAGCCAACGGAGAGGTGGGGCTAAGACCTGGAGGGACCGTCATAAAGTAACTGGACAGGCGAAGGGGCGGGGCCTAAAATGGAGGGGGGATTTTGGCGAGGGGAAGCTACTAGGGGGCGTGGCTAACGGGCAGGCGGGGCTCAGATATTTAAAGCCGGTTCTACAGACTGGCAGAGCCTAGGGAGCAAAGGTCCTCATAAACACTAACCTAAAAAACCTAACCCATTGCCATCGAGTCGATTCCCACTCATAGCGACCCTACAGGACAGAGTAGAACTGCTCCATCGGGTTTCTAAGGGGCGGCTGGTGGATTCGAACTGCCGACCGTTTGGGTAGCAGCCGAGCTCTTAACCACTGCGCCACCAAGGCCTTGAAAAGGGAGACGGCCGGAGGAGAGGCGCGGCCGACCGGGGCGGGCAGTAGGTTGATCTGTCCCACCCGGTGCCCCTAGATGTACCCGGAGCTGCAGATTGTGCGTGTGGAGCCAGCGGCGCAGGCCATCCCCATGGAGCGCTGGTGCGGGGGTGCCCACGGCGGCCACTGTGCCCAACCTCACCATCAGGTTGTGCCCTTCCGCTGCCTGCGTGAGTCACTGGCTGGGGGAGGGGAACGGAGGTAGGGGGTCTTGGAAGGGCAAGGTTCTGGATGGACCCCTGTCTCGGGCCCACTGTAGGGGGCTGGGTGCCTGGGCCCGAAGTGGGTCAGAGAAGCCTCTGAGGATAAAATATCAGGATACTGAGGAGGGTGGAGCTGGAGGCTGGAGATGGGTCTCACCCTGGTGCTCTCCATCCCCAGGGGATGAATTCGTGAGCGAGGCCCTGCTGGTGCCGGAAGGTTGCCGGTTCTTGCACCAGGAGCGCATGGACCAGTGCGAGAGCTCCGCTCAGAGGCATCAGGAGGCTCAGGAGGTCAGGACCCTGGCCCACCCATCCCCACCCCCCAGAACCCAGGAATCCAGACCCCTAAATCCTCCTCCATCAGAACCAAGACCCTGGGCCCCCAACCCCCTCCACCCTCAGAACCCAAGAGTCAGGTCCAGCTCTCTCTTCCCTCTGGACCCAGGAGTCCAGGATCAGTAATGCCAAAATCGGGAATCCAGGCCTCCAGCCTCCTACATCCTCAGAACCCAGGAGTCTGAGCCCCCAGCCTCCTCTTCCCACCAGGACCTAGGAATTCCATCCCCAGTCCCTTCTCCAGAACCAGGAGTCCAGGCCCCCTTACCCCTCCTACCCCACAACCCTGGCATCTGGGCCCACTCTTCCCACAGGCCTGCAGCTCCCAGGGCCTCATCCTGCATGGCTCGGGCATGCTTTTGCCCTGTGGTGTGGATCAGTTCCGG